GCAGTCATCAAGACAGTATGGTACTGGCACAAAAATAGACATATAGACCAATGGAACAAGATAGAAAGTCCAGAGATAAGGCCATGCACCTATGGGTACCTTATTTTTGGCAAAAGAGGCAAGAATATACCATGGGGCAAAGACAGCTTCTTCCATAAATGATGCTGGGAAAACTGGACAGCTACATGTAAAAGAATGAAATTAGAACACTTTCTAAACACCATACACAAAGATAAACTCAAAATGGATTACAGACCTAAATGTAAGACCAAAAACTATAAAACTCTTAGAGGAAAACAGGCAGAACACTCGATGACATAAATTAAAGCAAGATCCTCTATTACCCACCTCCTAGAGTAATGAAAGTAAAAACTAAAGTAAATAAGTGGAACCTGATTAAACTTAAAAACTTTTGTACAACAAAGGAAACTAGAAGCAAGGTGAAAAGACAACCCTCAGAATGGGAGAAAATAATAGCAAATGAAATAACTGACAAAGGATTAATTTCCAAAGTATATAAGCAGCTCAAACAACTCAATACCAGAAAAACAAACAACCCAATAAAAAAGTGGGAAAAAGACCTAAACAGACATTTCTCCAAAGAAGACATACAGATGGCTAACAAACACATGAAAAGATGCTCAACATCGTTCATTGTTAGAGAAACGCAAATCAAAACTACAGTGAGATATCACCTCACACCGGTCAGAATGGCCCTCATCAAAAAGTCTACAAACAATAAATGCTGGAGAGGGCGTGGAGAAAAGGGAAAGCTCTTGCACTGTTGTTGGGAATGTAAATTGATACAGCCACTATGGAAGACAGTATGGAAGACGGTATGGAGTTTCCTTAAAAAACTAAGAATAAAACCACCACATGACCCAGCAATAATTCCACTCCTAGGCATATACCCTGAGGAAACCAAAATTGAAAGAGACACATGTATCCCACTGTTCATTGAGGCACTATTTACAATAGCTAGAACATGGAGGCAACCTAGATGTCCATTGACAGATGAATGGATAAAGAAATTGTGGTATACACACACACACACACGCACACACACAATGGACCATTACTCAGCCATAAAAAGGAACATATTTGAGTCAGTTCTGATGAGGTAGATGAACCTAGAACCTATAATACAGAGTGAAGTGAGTCAGTTAGAGAAAGATAAATACCATATTGTAACACATATATACCAAATCTAGAAAAATCGTACTGAAGAATTTATTTACAGGGCAACAGTGGAGAAACAGACACAGAGAATAGACTTAGGACATGTGAAGAGGGGAGGAGAGAGAGGGTGAGATGTATGGAAAGAGTAACATGGAAACTTACATTACCATGTGAAAAATAGATATCCAATGGGAATTTGCTGTATGTCTCAGGAAACTCAAACAGGGGCTCTGTATTAACCTAGAGGGGTGGGTTGGGGAGGGAGATGGGAGGGAGTTTCAAAAAGGAGGGGATATATGTACACCTATAGCTTGATTCATGTTGAGGTTTGACAGAAAATAGAAAAATTCTGTAAAGCAATTTTATCCTTCAATAAAAAATAAATTAACTAAAAAAAGTACTTTCTCAACATCATTACTCATTGAGAAATGTAAATAAAAACCACAATGAATACCACTTCATACCCTCTAGCACGGCTATATAAAGAAGACAGATGATAACCAGGGTTGGGGAGGATACGGAGAAGTCAGAACTCATATACACTGCTGGTGGGAATGGAAAATGGTGTTCACGCTTTTGGAAACAGTTTGGCATTCCTTCAAAAAGTTAACTATAGAGTCATCATGTGACCCAGTCATTCTACTTTCAGGTATATACCTAAGAGCATTGAAAACATATGTTCACACCAACATCTGTACACAATGTTCACAGCAACATAATTCACAGTAGTCAAAAACTGGAAACAATTCATATGTCTATCAACTGATGAATGGATAAACAAATGTGGTATATATCCATACAATGTGGAGTATTATCCAGTTACAAAAATGAATGGAGTTCCAATGAAGACCTGCTGCAATATGGATGAATCTTGAAAATATGTTAAGTAAAAGAAGCCAGATACCAAAGACCACATATTATATGATTTCATGATTCCAAGTTGCATCACAAAGTGTCTGGAACAGGCAGATTCATAGAGATAGAAAGCAGATTAGAGGTTGTCAGGGACTTAGGGGAGGAAAAGACAGGTAACTATTGATGGGTATGGGGTTTATTCTGGGTGTGATGGAATATTCTGGAACTAGATGGTGGTAATCATTGAACAACCCTGTCAATATATGAAAAAACCACTAAATTGTAAAAAATGAAAAACAGAAGAATCTAAAGAGTTTTGCTATTAGAAAAACTGAGTTCTTTCGGATGTTAAGATGATTAAGCTTTAATTATCACCATATACCTTGACCCTGTATAAATTTTGAAATCCACAACAGGAATATATCACTTGGATCTTCTAACTGGATTGACTACAATATAGCACAACAAGAAAATTTTGTTTTCCTCTTATCCTCACACAAATTCTCTTTATCTTATTTTTATTCTCACATTTTTGTATTGCTATATAGAAAGTACCTTTTTATATTCAGTGTTTCTTCTACTTGATCTGTTTCTTTGGAATAGAGTATCTAATTTGATAGACTCAGTATACTCTATTGCTCAATTCAATCCTGTGGTTCATCATACTTTCTGTCTTGTGGTTTAAGGTCAATTTGGTTTCTATTTCAAATTCACTTTATTGGTTATAAAGATTAAAATCAAAGATGGCTGGTTAAAAAGAGGTTGGCTTCTGGTAAGTAGGATTAGGGTAGGGCAGGAGGCCTTTCATCAGAAGGTCCCCAGGTAGATTTGTTAACTTGTAGATATTCTCATAACGAATAGTCCTGACAGTTGGAAATGATAGATGGGAGGATGAAGTCCCATTAACAGAAATAGTTAAGAGTAAGAACAGACCGAGAGCCAGAGTAAAAAAAAAAGCATATTAAGTAGAAATTTGAGGAGGAAGGGTTGTTGAAATCTACCCAGACTTCTTTTTCTCTTATGTTCTCAAATATTTGTAGCCTCTCTTCAATGTATAAGATATAGTTAGGTAAGTGAATAAAGCATTGTTCTTGTCCTCTGGGATCTTGCAGGCTCATACAGGAGACAACACTGCATATACATTACTGGGGGAACAGGATAGTCCATGACAGGTGCCTTAAGGGCCATACAGACAATGGCTGCAGTCCAAGGATGGGTCAGATTGTATCCTGGCAGGTAGGCAGGATCACAGAGGAGGAGGCACTGAAGCAGAAAGGTGGGATCTTTTTAAAAAGTACAAACTAGAGGGAAGGGAAGGCTAATCTAAGGAGAGAAATGGTATAGAAAAGATACAGTGGCAAGAAAATAAATTATGTATTTCTTAGAGGGTAAGAAAATATATCCATTCAGCTGGAGTGCAAAATTTGCATAAATGGGTAACTGAAGATACAGTTAGGGTGGTAAGGTGGCACAGATGTAGACATTGTTGAACGTTAGCCTGAAGGCGCTGGAGAGTCATAAAAGCTCTCAAGCTGGTTGGTAATATGACCAAAGTAGTGTTTTAGAGAGGAACACCAATGAAGGGCAGGATGGACTGGAAGGAAGGAAAGGCTGAAAGCAAAGAACCCAATTAGGGTGACAACAATGTGAATAGAAAGGAGAAAAATAGGAAGATTGTAAAGGAAGAATAAAATAAACTGACTAAATGATTCTCCACATTTCTACTTTGGTGATGGGCAGATTCTGATGCTAGGAAGTTCTGGGTATCTGCTGTGATCCATCCTATGTGAGTAGGATAACCATGGATCTGATACTATTTAGACTACTATTGATTCATTGTTGACACTATCTGGAAAGGGGCAGGTGGATGCAAAGTGGGTAATTCAAAACCATTTTCATTTGGATTTGAAAAGGGTTCTGTGCATCTGCCACCTCCCTAGTGCTCTTTGTTCTAGCTGGTGTTGAAATGAATCTCTTATCTGATTGACAGCTTTTCATATTGAATGACAAGGCCCAAAAGCTCACAAGTGTGCAGAGGAAAACTCCCCACTATCAAGAGTTCAGGGTGTAGGATTCATAAAGTGCAAAACCATTTCTGAAATATCTCAGGAATGAGGCTAAGAGTCTAATTTTGTTACAGCAAATTAGAGGGAAATTTGCCATAGTGTCAGAGGGATCTCTGGGTAAGGTAGGCATTAATATGTTCCTCCCTTAACTCCCACAAAAACAGCTCTCATCCTGGAAGAGCATCTGCCATGTCTGGAAGTGATGCCAAAGGTGGTCCTCCATGGCAGGGAGCCCAGGGTGAGGGACAGGAAGCTACAAAGAGGGAACTGAGATAGATTTTATTTAAACTCAAGGTTCTCAGATCAAATCCTGGCTAGGAAAACATGAAAACAAGATTTCCTTCTATTATAGCATTCTCCATCTCAGTGTGAATGGGGGTGTGAGGATGTGGGTATGTACACTAGAGTGTGTTTTGCTCCCCAGGGACCCCGGCCCAGCTCATTTCCTGGGCAAGGCCAGATGGAAGTAGTTAGTTCTAGAACCTGCTTTGTGAAGCCACCCATAGCCACTGGCCCTTCTCAAAAGGTGGACTTCCCAAGCCATTCAGATTTCAAAGAGTATGTGGTTGATATTCATACACACAATGTACATTTCACATGAACACATTCCCTTGCTGTATTTGGTTTAAAAGAACACAGCAGATTCCAGAACCTGGAGCACAAAGATGAGGTCCATTCAGAAGCACAGCATATAGGAGTTGAGACCCTATGTACAGAGCTCTACCCAGCAGCTGCATCTCTTTGAATGTTCAGATTTCAAAAGAGATGATTCTACCTACGTGTCTCACCTTGGCTCTGTAGTTGAGCATTTCTGTACAGAGGCTGTTCTCCTACTCAGTGTGAAAATGGCCAGAATGGGGTGTGCTAGGTGGAGGGGGAGGGCTCCAGGATGCTTCCTACCTTGGCAGGCACCCTGAACTCCCCATATTCTTTCAGCAGTTCCTGAGTCTCCTCTGTGGTCTCCCCGGTGGAGGTATGTGTTGAGAGGTAATATTCACCTGTTTCTTGGATCCAGTCTAGTGCCTGTGGGAAGAAACAACCCACTAAGTTCTCCCAAAAGCCAGTTGTTAGTAGAAAAATATGCCATGCTCTGATGTGAATGTTTGTGGTTTGGAACAATATGATGGACCCAGGAAACCCTGGAATGACTTAATCGGTACGTAGCTTGGAAGTTGATTTATGAAAGTGCCCCTCTCTGTTAGACTTGGAAAAATCCACCAGCAAAGACAGTGCCTTGTCCGTTAAACTGGGGACTCTTCTAGACCAGGTCCACTATTATCCATGAGTTAGAGCAATCTGCCCCCAGCATCTCCTCCCAACTCCTGTCACCAAACTCTGAGTAAAGTGCTTGGTGAAAGCTGAATTGCTGGTTAGTGCAAGGATTCTTCTTTTTACCCCCATCTCCCATCTCTATTCTGTCTGGTGTGATGACCCTCTTTGGAACTGTCCCAAGTCTTGGTCATCTGGGCCTCTGTACGGTCCTTGTCTGAGACAACTCCAGGGAAAGTGCTGAACATACCTGCTTGGCGCTTCGCTCAAACACCACGTATTGCTGACACTGGTCTAACTGCCGCTTCTTCAATGTCCAGAAGTGCAGGACACGGTTCTCCCTCTGTAAGAGCTCACTCAGGATGGCTGCAGGGCAGAGAGCAGGTGCTGGTCTCAGGAAGGCCCTGATCAAATCTGACCAGCCACTCGGGCCCCACATCCCAGATGCCAGATAACTGTGCCCTTCGCCGACTCTCCCCATAGGACTAATTCAACACCAGAAGCAAGGGGTCAAAGTTTGGTTCAGAGAGAATTTCCCAGAGGAGAGCAAGATAGGGGAGACTGGGGGAGGGCCTACTGATGAAGTTGTATCAATAAAGTGGGGGAGAGGATGTCCCCAGGGTGACTTGAAAGTGACCCTGGTTTTCTTCGCACCAAAGCTAGTCCTTGATGATAGGAGACCTTGGGAAGTATTGGTGCTGAAAATAATAACTAATTCAACCAAATCTTTACAACCTGTAGAGAGTGGATGGACTTGGCAGGAATCCCAGCCACTCTTGGAGGTTCCAGCGGAGGGCCAGAGGTGAACAGGCACAAGGACTGGGGTAACTGCATGGACAACCATGTCACTTGCCACATACTCTGCCTATACTGTGCAGGGACTGTGCTCTTAGTACTTCAACAGCATAGCCTCAGTTTAAAAACTTCTAAATCATGGGCATAGGGAAGCTGTGTTGAAATCATGTCATCATGGAATCATGTCTCTAAGCCCAAACTGCCATGCTGGTTGGGACCGATCACAAGAAAAGCTAAAGCTATCCTCAATCATCTCTAATGATGGCAGGTGTAAGGATGTGCATGAGGCCACGGAACACAGCAGAGGCTGTGGAGGCATCTGTCCAGGTCTGCCCCCTGCCCCCACTTCCCCTGGTCTAGAAGCCACTGGCTACATGGATAGATTTCCAAAGTATTTAATAGCATGTTCTAAGCTTGGAGAAATCAAATCTATTTTGTACTGTTTGCCTCCGACTTCCCACTAACTACATTATATACTAATAAGATATACAAGAACGATGCTATGAAAAGTTGACACTTACTCAGTTCCCACTATGTGGCAGACACGTATTTTCATAGTACCTCATTATGCATGGACCATTATCATCTCCACTTTACAGATGAAGAAACTGAGGTTTAGAGAGGGTAGGTAACTGGCCCAAGGTCATTCTTATGGAAAAGGGTAGAACTTTATGACTTCAGAGGCTTTGTTCTTAGCTACCTTGGGCACCCACTTTATTGGGACTGTAAAGCACAAGTTATGTTGCAGGGAAAAGCCAATTCTGACTGCATGGTTGGAACTGTTTCTTTGACTTGCTTTTCGTTGGTTTTCTTATTATAATCCATAATATCCATATTATTATCCATAATAATATCCATATAATATCCATATAATCCATAATGGATTATAATAATAGTCCATAATCCATAATCACCCCTAATGGTCTGCCTCAGAGAGTCCTGCCCCTCTGCCTGACTGTTAAACTAAAGTACCTTTGCTCAGAATCCTGTCCACTTGTGGATGGCAGAAAGGAAGAAATCAACACATTCCCTGGCTGAGGCTTGCCATTATAGGAGATATTTGCAAGATTAATGGCCCTTATACTTTGTTTCTTCACCTCCCCTCATCTCTGATCTATAAAAGAACCCAATAAGACTGTTATTTTGAGACAGTAGTCTGCCATCTTCTAGGTCTACTGGCTCATGGGGCAAGCAGAGCAAGCTTGGACTTGGTACAGTGTGCTTTACACAGAGGGCACAGCCCAAATTGTAGTGTTTGTTTACTTTTTGTGAACTTTTAATGCACTATGGAAGTTTAACTCTCAAAGGATAGAATCTGTCTCTTCTCCCTTAGGCTGAGAACTTATATGGGTCCCTATTATTGATCTCTCCCTATATCTATGCTCTTACTATGTAGCTTTTTAGTTCCTCCCCCAAAGAGACCAAGTGTACTTCCTCACCCCTGACCTCACACTTGGTCATGTGACTTGTTTTGGCAAGTGGGTCATTGATAGGACACACGCAGGGGCTTGGAGTGTGCTTGTGCAATCAACCTTGCCCCTTTGATCTCTGCTATTACCTCCCTAAGAAGTTCTCCTTGGTGATCACTACCCCTTCAACAAGGTCCCAGAATTAATCCACATGGAGCAGTCAAGAACCCATCCTGTGGTGAAGGGGCCAAGCCAGCCAGACTTGCAGTCTCAAGCAGAAGGGCGTTGTTGAGCCCAGCCAGGGCAACTGGTCCCCAGGCAATGCAGTCAATGAACAATAAATGCTTACAGTTGTGGGCCACTGAATTTCAGGGGTTGTTATATAGAAATAATTGCTCCTATAAGAAAAACTAGTGGCACTGGCTTTGGGCCCATGCAGCAGGTGGAAAGGAAATGGATACAGAAGAGGTTATAGGTCTCTGCTAAGGTGGAAGCTACAACTGGGCAAAGACAGTGAGAACCTGTGTTACCTTTAGTCTTTTTGTCTCCAAGTCAGAGCTTTGTTCACTAAGGTCCCTCCGTGGTGGCTGAGAGAATTAGCCCAGCTTAGGTGAATGTCCTAATGAGCTTCAGGTTTTATTTTTGCCCTCTTGTAAGCTTTCCTGAGGGGATACCCTGCCCTGGCCCCGACCAATATGTGACACATCCTGCTCTCCCTGGGAGGCTGCCACTCTTGGCACACTGGGGCAGAGGTGGGGCGCGCTTGCTCTCAGCAGGTACCTGGCCTCACTCAAGTCACATTTAGACATCAGAACACAGATGTCTGTAAAAAATCTGAAAAAATCTGCAGGAAGGGAAAGGTGACATAATGCCAGCCACCTACAGGCCCCTCAGCTGCAAACAGGATAGCACATCTGGAAAAGGAATCCTTCTTCCCTCTTCTCTGTAGGGAACTTTGATTCCTAAGTTTTAATTCTTCCTGGTGTCCTCTGATCTTGCCACCTCCTGAGCTCCTTAAGCAGGAGAGAGGCCCTTCCTAAGAGAGGTCCAAGCTTCCCACTGTCCCCTTAGCAGCTTGCCAAGCCTGTATCACTTCCTTCCCTAGCCCTGGTCTCCGGAGTTGTATTGCTCTGCTGTGTCAAGATGACATTTGTTAAATTCTTCACCCACTCAAAGGCTAATTTCTGTAAGGTCAAGAGTAAGTGATCCAACAATAATGAAAGTGAAGTTGCTCAGTCGTGTCTGACTCTTTGGGACCCCATGGAATGTAGCCTACCAGAAGAATTGATGGTTTTGAACTATGGTGTTGGAGAAGACTCTTGAGAGTCTCTTGGACTGCAAGGAGATCCAACCAGTTCATCCGAAAGGAGATCAGTTCTGAGTGTTCATTGGAAGGACTGATGTTGAAGCTGAAACTCCAATACTTTGGCCACCTGATGTGAAGAGCTGACTCACTGGAAAAGACCCTGATGCTGGGAAAGATTGAAGGCAGGAGGAGAAGGTGACGACAGAGGATGAGATGGTTAGATGGCATGCCTGACTCAATGGACATGAGTTTGGGTAAATTCCAGGAGTTGGTGATGGACAGGGAGGCCTGGCGTGCTGCAATCCATGGGGTCGCACAGAGTCAGACACGACTGAACTGAACCAAACTGAAACTTTAAGATAAAACAAAATATATTTGGGGAAATTTTATAGTCATTTTCCCATTCCAAATTTTGATGCATGATGAATTGCCACTATCCATACCATCCCACATCACACTTTTTCTTATCTAAGGAGAAGAACCAGGAAATCTTAAGTCACATGAAGACCAGGTACCAAGCTCTGGTCCATGTGGCTGGAGTGGGTTCAGGCTGGCAGGGCTCACACTGACCTTTCACTTGCTGTTCGGGTCCTCGGGTGTGGCTGGCAGCACTGGGCATGCTGACGTTGTTCCTATGGATGTACTTGAGAAAGACCTCAGCATTCCGCCGTGCCAGGGTGCAGGCCTGAGAGAGACAAAGTGTGAAGTCGCACACGTAAGTCCCAGTCCAGAGGTACATATGATCTAAGACACCAGAGAAGGGATGCTGGCAATGAGGCTTCTGGGGCTCTGGCTGAGCAGAGTCCTGGAGGCCAACTGGAGCAACATGGATGTTCCAGTTCTAATGGAAGAGGTTTACTTATTCTTTTAAGTGAAAAACTTAACAAAGAAAAGCTCCCTATTCCTCTCCCCTTTCCATCACAAGTGAAAAAAAGAAATCAGCTACTCCTTGACTACTACATGTATTGATTCAGCATGACCACCATCACTTTCAGGCTGATTTCCCTCTGCCACATATAAGAGTCCCTCATATATGACCTTGGTGTAAGCCACTTTAACATTAGCTTAATTTAGACTCAAGAAAGCAAATTCAGTAATCAAACCTATTAACCACACGTTCCAAATATAAATGGAAATTACCCACATTTTAGAAACATGTTTGTCGGTTGGGTGCATGAGACAAGTGCTCGGGCCTGGCGCACTAGGAAGACCCAGAGGGATCGGGTGGAGAGGGAGGTGGGAGGGGGGACCGGGATGGGGAATACATGTAAATCCATGGCTAATTCATTTAAATGTATGACAAAAACTACTGCAATGATGTAAAGTAATTAGCCTCCAACTAATAAAAATAAATGGGAAAAAAAAATTAAAAAAAAAAAAAGAAACATGTTTGTCTATAAAACCCACCTCCACCTCAATAAGATTAATAAACATCCTATTGCTGGGCACAATATATCATGTAAAAGAGTAAGAGCCATTGTACCACCCCCTTAAAGCTCATAAGAGCAGTGAAGCAGAGAGAACAGGTTTGTCCCATGTTGCTGTACCAGATGGAGGCTAGGGCCCAGCAAGAGCAGGAGTCATGAGCAAGTCAGGACTAGAATCTAGGTCTACTGATAGAGTGCTTCTAGTTTCTCTCAAGACTAGAGATTTTCTGAAATTTCTTTACAAAGCAATATTTTTCCTGTTGGTAGAAGTAATACATGTTAGTCCATTAATTTTCAGTCCACTGCTTTCAGAACTAAATTATCTCTAAACAAAATTGTTAACTTCTAAACTTTTTTATACTTAGCATCTGATTCTACAAATCATATGGTAAAAACTAAGCTTCTTTATATTTCGCATCTGATTCTACAAATTACGTGTTAAAAAATTATTTTAAATGTTGCTTTCACAATAACAGTTTCTGGGAGCTCTGGTAAGATTGATCATGGTCCTACCACCCTGAGGCCCATGAATTTAACAGCTGGATAGCAGTCCGAAGCTAAAGAATCCAAAATACATCAACTAATGTATATAAGCAGAGAGCTTAATCTTCTGTTCATTGGGCTTGTAATTCCTACAACAACAGAGTTTCTCAACTATGGTTTTAGGCACATCTGGAAAACATCAGAACTTTTTTTTTTTTCCTTCTTCAAAAAAGTCATTTGATTTTATGAAGAAATACCTTTATACCTCTATTTAAAAACTTTGACATGCTCTACTTAAATTGTTTCATTTTAAACTTTGTTTTATCAGAGGGAAGACTTTTAAAATCATCTTAAGCCCTATATGGAAGAATTTCTATTTAATCTTATTAGTAAGAGCTGATTACTAAGGGTTCTGATCAAATGCAGGTGCAGATACTAGATAGATGGGAGAAGAGCAGCAGGGGGTCATCTTTAAAAAAGAATAAAAATAAAACTTAAAGAGGTGGTCAAGTAGAGAAAACCCCTAATAAAAGAAAAGCAGTTAATGACAGAATTGTAGAAAATGAGTGGCAACATGTTAGAGTATAAAAATTCTCCAATGTGCTTTCAGAAACCTGAAAGGAAGTAGAACATGAAAGCAAGGAATTTGAGAGTAAATGGAGCCTTTGGAAAAGTTTTCACACTGAAGGCTCTGTCAGAGAGAAGATCAAAGGCAGAAGGAAACAGGCTTAGGAGGTCTTCCCACACCAACTAAAAGCTGTTGAGAGCTGGACTGTGTTTCTCCCCTGGGAAGCTAGGTAATTCTCTCTTCATACACAGAATAAACAATGTCACATTTATTGGTAATTGGTAATTGTTAGATTGATAAATAAATGTCTAAACATATTTTTTAAAACTCTTGCCCTAAATTTTGTGTCATCCAATTATAAAGATGTATTTTAATAGTTTTCTATCTAGGCTTATATATTTAAATTAAAATACTTTTACAGATAAAACATAACTAAGTGAAAGTATGTATTTTCCTCAGTAAACATCAATGGGATATCAGGATATTTGTACACAGCATCAGCAGAAATTGAGCATTCTAATTACCTAATTATACAAAAAGTGTTGAGAGAAATAATGTTTGAAGTGTAACTTTTCAACCTTCCAAATATCCTCTTTACAAATGACTCCCTTTAGATAAGAAACTAGAAAATACAGAGGTGTGGGAAGCCCACGCGAAGCAGTGAGAGAGAGAGGGAAAGAAAGAGACAGAGGCAGAGGAGAAAAAAAGGAAGAGGAGGAGGAGGAGACAGAGAGACAGATGCAGAAAGGAGGAAGAGGGGAGGAGGAAGAAAAGGAGGGGGAGACAGCGAGAAAGGGAGACAGTAGATGAAAAACAAGGCCAAAGTCCCAGAACTTGATGACAATGTGTTCTGACCTTAAGAAAGGCTTCCTTTTGTTCCAAATGTTTACTGATGAGTGGAATGACGTGGTCGATCTCTGTTGCTGGCCCCAATTTATCTCGTCCACCACACCAGTCCTCATCTCTTCGGTATTCTTGCTCTAAGCTCTCCAGGACACTACAGACCTAATGAATCATGGATGAAAAGACTCAGTAATTGTTTAAGAAGTATTTTATAAGGACCATTAGCTTAGAGACCCCTATTGTAAATGACATTTTTCATTCAAAATCCAATTTGTGGCCTTAGGTGTGTAGTACTCCCTGAGATGTCTAAGAAAAAGTCCGGGAGGCAGTGAGAATCCAGTGTCTGGAGTTTGGAAGACAGATTACAACTGAGGTATGGACTTTGGAATCATCTTCTGACAGCTGATGGTTGAAGGCTACAGGGATTGATGACATCACCTAGGGATAGTGTACACAGCAAGAAAGGAGTAAAGACTAGTAATTTGGGGAGTTTCAAAGTGTTTTTATATATTAACTTGCTATAATCTTATGATAATCTATGAATTAGGTGGAACAGGAAAAGGAGGTTTGGGGAAGATATTTGAGTTGCCCAGCCATCTGTACTTGTCCTACAGGAAGTAGCCTCAAGTAGAGGTAAAGGAGGAAGTTGCCTATGTTGTGTGATTTATGGACCATAAGTGAATGCTATCTTTCCCCTCCCTGGGAAAAATATTCCAACAAAAACATTTCAAGGTGCTACCACAAAGCAATGACATCTCCAGGCCTGCTATTGCAAAATGTGTATTTCTTTCAGAGAAATAACAAATTCGGGTTAACTTAAAAGATAGTTAAGATGGTTTTTCAGTTCTAAACAGTCTGGGAGGCCATGCTCTAATTGACCTTATAGACAAATTCAAAAGACCACAAGCATTTCAAATGGGGCTTGGAAGGATAGTGAGGTTGGGTGCATCAGTAGGAGACACAGCGCAGCCTACTGTCAGGGATTAAGGAAGGATGCAGAAAATAGAAACCATTTCTATACTTTCCTTCAACAATCTATGGTTACTTGCCTGGCTAGGGCGGCAGGGGAAAGTGGCTCTAACGATCCTTGATCTCTTCTATCTGAGAAAGTCATCTCTTTTGGTAAATGACGTGGCATTGGATAGGATGCTTTATGAGTTATGAACTGAACTGAAAAATAAGCTGAAAGATGTCCAAAGCAGAACACTCACTCCCATTGCCAACATGCTTCCCATGCCATGAGAAGGCCTATCCCTGAATTCCAGCTAGTTTCTTTAGCACCACTCATCTCTCTTGAGGCAAGGCCTCAAAACAAGCAGGAGGCTCACATCTTTAGAGAAAACAGATTATACACATGCAACAACTTTAAGAAAATGAGTGCTTAACACCTGTACCAAGGTAGTATTAGTTTTAAAACCAATCAGTTTGGGAGCTAGAAGAAATGGAAAGATTACCCAGTATAAGTCATTTAATTTAATAGGTGAAGAATCAAAAATCTAGAGAGATAAAGTGACCTTTGGTAAGGTCAGTTCAGGGTCACATTTCCTGACTCTTAATCTAGTGTTTTGTCCCCTTCAGCATCTTGAGCCATCTCAAATAAAAAACTATATATGATATCACAAAGGGATTAAGCCTCATTTTTTTCATATGGACAGTCAGTTGTCCAGCACCATTTGTTTAAAAAACTTTACTTGTTGAATTGCTTTTTCAAGAATCAATTGACTATATATGTAGGTCTACTTCTGGGACCTCTACTCTGTTCCATTGTGTCTGTTCTCACACCACTACCATTTGTCTTGATCAACTACAGCTTTAGAGCCTTAAAGTCAGGTAGTATAAAGCCTCCAATGTTGTTCTTTGTCAAGACTGTTTTTGGCTATTCTAGGTTCTTCACATATCTGTGTAAATCTTAGAATTAGCATATCAATTTCTATTTTTTAAAAAAGCTTGCTGAGGTGTGACTGGGCTGTGCTTAATTTATAAATCAAATGGAGAAGTTCTTTATTATGTTAGTCTTCTGCTCTCACTTCTGAGGCCATCTAAGACACCATCTCTCTGAAATGCTTGAAAGGAGGACTGAGAGAAGGTGTAAAGATGAATGCTGGCTGCAGGGCCCACTGATAGGTTACACCCGCTCTGAGACAGACTTTCCCATGGTCCCTTTAAACGTTTCTCTGATCTATTTCTACCAGGGAGTTATCCTGTCTTAAACATCTATTTCATGAAAAGAGTCCCATAACAGCACCCAAATCATTTAAAAAGCCTCTTAACCCTTGTACATATTACTGTACAGATATATTAATAATGAGTTTGCAACTTTATGGCCCTGAAGTAGGTATCTCCTGCCTTTTCTTCCACAGCTGCACCATCCTACTAGTTAGGCTCACAGTTCTCTAATGACAGAGAGCTGTGTTTCCTGTACTAGACTGGGAATCCCATGAATGAAAGAACTGTGTGTTTTTCAAGCAGTGCACAGTTCCCTATTGTGGTAGATTAAACTGTGTTCAATAACTCATCACTCCCTTTTCACAATCCTCACAGGAGGCATACTTCACTCATGTTGGCTTGACCACGTGACTTGTTTTGGCCCAAAGGGTGTTACAGCACGTGACACAGGCAAACTTGAAATGCACTTGCACACTAGATTTTGGGCTCTTGCACCCCTGCCTTTCACCATAAATGTGACTCAAATATCTGCTAGTCAAGAAGGAAGAGAAATACAGGAACAGATCTAGACCCAACCTGTAGCTTGGAGCCTAGTTTTACTATGCTCAGCCAAGATCAGCTGAATACTAGATACCTAAGCAAAAATAGATGTTTATTGTTTTACACCACTGGGTTTGGGGGTGATTTGTTATACAGCATTATTGTGGCCAGAGCTAACTGGTATATCATCGAAACCTAGCATTCAGCATATGCCCATCCAATTTCTACTTCAACACCTACATCTAGTGAGTTTGAGAAATTTATAAGAAACAAATCACATGGTCCACTCCTTTAATGGAAATAATTATACAGAAGCAAAACATGGTATTTCCACAAATCATTCTTGTACTCTCCTGTGCATTTCATAGGCTAGTGCTGAGAGGATTGGCTTCTTGCTAAGGTAGATCCTACATATTTGCCACATGTGGCAGAAAACTGCCCTCCATTGGTCTCAGGCCCACACAGCCCTCTCCCTCACCTGCTCAGAAGTTTTATAAAAGGCCACTGAGGCATTGACCAGTTTCAGTCGGTCTTCCATCTTGAGCATGAGTTGCTGCCAGTGGAGGGCCACCTTCTCAGCACATTCCCGGATGGCATCTGCATCATAGTGGCCAGCCTGGAGCAGCGCCTCAGCTTTCTGCTGAACCTGCAGGGCGCTCTGGTGTGTCTTCTGCAAGGAAGTGGCATGAAAGAGGGACTGGGCACAAGGGGAGGAGAGAGAGGTCCGTGGGAACAACCCAGGCGTGGTGTGGGAAGGGGTGGAGTGAGGCGTGAGTGGAAAGATGCAGAAAAGTTAAAGAGCTTTAAATGACTGATTCAAACATGTTGTCATCACTGTTTTAAAAGCATACTTTAAAAATGAATATCAAACGTTTTCATTAACTAACTGCTTAGGTCCCTAACTCCTGTCCCTACCCCATTCTCATTTATTTGCATCACTCTTCGTTTTAAAGACATTTTAGTTTCTGTGCTAGAGAAACACAGTTGTGTATAAATCTGCTTCCTGATTGACTCAAACATTAATTAAATCTCCTTTTCAAATCTAATCATAAAATTATTCATCATCAGTTTTCAGAGGAGGCAATTGCTGTAGTCCCACTCTACAGATCAAATAAACATAGCACATAAAAAAATCCCCATGTAATACAAGTCTCAACCAACAGTGCAATCATTTTAAACATGAATGATCATTTTCAAAATGGTTCTAGTAGAAGGAAGACATTTGACAGGTTAGTAAAGCAGGAGAGTAGAATCTTACACCATCTCTTAGTTACCAAGGGAACAGAATAGTACAGAAGATAATTCAGTTTAACATATAATCCTGCATTACTACATTATTTACATTTGCCTTTAGGATCATCTATACTGCAGAAGGTTTGTTTTCTTATTCAGGGTAAGTGTGGTTTGCATCCTCTGAGTTCACTTTAACTGAAGGAGGTGGGGAGAATAAGTTGGAGAACTGGGTGGCAGGGAGACAGCCAAATAAATACAATTTATTAAAATAAAAGACTGATGTGGATGAGCCATATGACTTCAACCAGCTAATATTAACCCAACTTCAGCTACTGGGATCATTTCAACCCAATGACATAGTATGAGTTTGGCCTTTGCACTTTCAGGAAAGGATAGCTTAGCTGACAGTGGAAAAGAGCAGCTAGAAGTCCAGCACCTTACTCCTGAATGATTTCTGCTCTTCTTGGGCTGCAGTGCAGGGACAGTTCCCCAGAGCAAATCCATTCAAGTACTGCCTGTGTGTGAATACAACCTCCCTTCTTTTCACCTCTACCTCCCCCTTTACCTTCGTCCCAAATTGCAGTCTACACAGCCTATCAACTACCTTCTGGCTGCCCTTTCCCCTCTGCTGAATCTGTCCTCAGCGTTAGCTATGTTAGCAAGACCTCCTATAGCAACCTAGACTCCTTTATTCCCTTACTTTGCCACTGATTCAGCCTTCAGTCCTGATGAGCACATTCTTATCATGTAGCAATCTTCCTAATTGCTACTTGAAGTTAGAAAAAATAAACAAGTGGAAATAATCCATTACAAATCTTTGGTTTCTTTCTCTGTTTTACTTATTGGTACCATTTTCTTTTCCTGTCTCCTAAATGTAGAAGTACCCTCAGGTCCATTCTTGGTTTTGGTTCACTTCCAGAGTTCTCATCTATTCCCTTGGACACTCAGCTCAGCTCTGACCTCCTTCAAAAAAAAAAAAAACCTTTCTGGATAGCCTGAGACTTACTAAAAACTACCCTCTTCTGAATGCCTATATCACCTATCTAACACTTGGCTGATTTTCCCTACTTAATGAAACTCAACGCAAGGACTGTTTTAAAAAATCTCTTTAAAAGCCATTTAGTCATGTGTATATTCTGTGCTAGGCACTGTACTTATGAATTTTTCTAGTTCTTATGACACTACTACAGGTGGATATTCTTATTCCCACTTTACAGATTAAGAAACTAAGGCTCAGGTTGATCAAGGTACTTGCCCAAAAATGTACATACAAGGAAGTGATGAAATCAGATTCAGGTTTGACCTATTCCCAAATTTCTGTCCACCATATCACACCACATCACTTCATATCTAGCAATTAGAATGGTATCTACAGTTTCTCATTCAGAGGAGGGGCTCACCAAGTGGAATTAGTGACTCTGATAATTATCTTGTCTCTCCTCAATATATAAAACCAGCATATAATTGTCATCATAAACCTTTGTTGTACCCTTTTCTCAGAGTAGAGGAGTAACTTTAATTTTCTTACAATTTATGCTATGTAACAAATCCTCTTCCTTATTCTGAAACTCATTAATATCTAATAGTCCTGGGAGCCTCTTCTTCCCTTTAATTTCCTAAATGATAAACTCTTAGGCATATGACATAATCTCTGCTTCACTAAACTTGAGTCATTATTTTGCATTTATTTCTACTATTATCTAATCTTATTGAGTGCTATGTCTTTGAGACATAGATTATCAAGGATGTTCATATTTAGTAGGAGGACATGGAAGAAAACCAAACCAAATCAATTGAATTTATTATCCAGTTTTAACTACTGTCTTAGTGCTTATGCTCAGAATGCATAAGAGGAATTCAAATAAAAATGGATTTTTAAAAAGGTTATAACATCAAGGGTGCCTCTGTGAAGTTCCCAGTTCTTGAAGACACATCAGCCACAACATTTGGATACTAACAAATACGAATCTGTAAAGCTGTATTTCTGGAGAGCTGTCTACTGCTTTGCATTCTGAATGGCTCTGGGGAAGTTTTTCTGTAACCAAGGAAACTTAAGGTAAACATTCTGACCTTCTTTAAGGAGACCAAAACCTTCAGACAGATGAGGCCAATTAAGCTAGGGAGAGCAAACATCTTGGTTTTCCCATGAGAGTTCTAGGCCATGCTGATTTTTCTGGCTTAGTTATTATTAATTCCCACTTTTACTCTCAAAAGAGTCTTAGTTCTAACAATAATTGTCTTACACAGAGCTATTTTATTTTCCCTTCTAGAGGCCAGGGTTCTTTCTTAGGGCCCAAGAAGTCAAATTATGTTCCCTATCACTGTAAGGACCGTATCAAAATGGGTTAAATAAAACCAGGCTATAGTTAAATCTCCTATCAAATTGCTTACATCCTACCTGGCATCTGTTCCCCCAGTGCAGAACCTGGTCTAAATTGACATATTTAGAGAGAAGCATAATGCCACCTGGAGAAGGAGCATATGTTTAAATTCTGGCTCTGTTCTTGTCATTATTCTAGCCAAGATGCAGACCCTGCCTACCTTCCATTCCCAAGATCTACTAGAAATCCTATTTGTTTTGTTACATCCTCTTGAGTCCACAAATTCTACAGGGGTTTATATCTCAACATATATCCTAGGAATATTTGATCAAGTTGCATCCATGAAATTAGAGACACAGATGCTTAGTAAGCCTTTATTCTGTAAGGATGCAACATCATCTAATACAAATTTGTATATACGGCATAAGCAAGTCAGAATTTAGTTATTTCAGTAACATTACTAACGGATTCACCCACTATTTTCTACTAGCTCATTGAGATGCTCAAGTGTGTCACAACACTTGATTTTTCTAGCTCAACATCTAATTAAGGGACTGAAAATTGAATTACCTGACAGGACAGGTAAACTTCCACATTTAAGATAAATAAGGAGGAGGTATGGCTAAGAGCTGTCCTTTCTTTGCCTAGCATCTCTCAAAGGTTCATGTCAAGCCTTGAATGTGACTGTCCAACTTTCATTTTCTTCATTGCTGCCTCTCAATGGGGCTTTGACCACTGTGGGCCTAATTTTTTATTATAATCTCAATCTTGAGTTTTCCTTTACAATGAATAGATCCTAACATTCTAATATTTGGGTGTGCCAGTAAACTGCAATATTTCCTAAGACATTATCAGACATCTTAGAGAAGTATGACATTCATGTTAATGCTACATTTTCACATACAAGAAAGCTTTTCAAAAATTAAATGGCTGAAATCCATCAGTACTAGTTTAAAAATGGCTAGCAATCAGTTGGATCACTGTATTGAAGATAAACTTAATGACACAGACAGTTAAGATTTTATCATTGTTGTGTTTCTTTAGTAGAAGACAATACCTTTGCACTTCTTACACATTCAAAAGTGGGTTAAGTTCTATACTGAACCACAAGTGATGCAGGTCTTCGAGGTTTTCTTTCTTCATCTCTTTTCCCATTGGTACTGAACTTATTTTTAACATAGTTCCCATGTCCCATTTCCTACTCTTTCCCCATACTGTTCTAGAGCAATCAGCTCAAGTCTCTTTGGGAAGGAAATGTTCCAGTACAAAGGATGATTAAAGATATTATTTAAAGCAAGACAAAATTCATATTAGACTATCACAAGTGGAATTTTATTTTAAAATAGCCTTGGTTGGTAAATTTCTGATTTTAGTTTATTCTTTAAATATGACTTCCACCAGCATTATTGAATAACTACTTTCAATGAAACAAACTCTCCAGTGCAGTCCGCTCCTGTATTCACTGCTGTTGTTAAAAGGCAGATTTGACAATGAAATCTAAATGTTACATGTAAATCAAATGTTTAAAAATGGAATTCTAATTTACTAATGACTTCTACAGTTGTTTATCCTCAATTCTGAGTGAGCTTCAACTGGAAGTGACTTCTAACCTTTTAGCTTAATATTTTCACATGATGCATAGATCATAAAGTATTAAAAGACTCAATGGACCAGGGGACTTGAAGGTTAAAGGTACTAATAAAAAAGATCACATTTGGAGTGTGAATACTTGTCTTCTAATACCAGGCTTCCTTGAGGTGATGAAGCCCTGGATTTGCTTCTCCAATTCCTGGGTGATAAGGAAGCTACCTGGCCCATTTCATAAGAAAGAGTAATGGCTTAACCACATAAAGGAAAACCCACATCTTGAGGAATCATCCTGCCTAAGTTGCAGAGCAGAGAAGGGAAGGGAGGACAGTGCAGTCAGATTTGGGTGTTACCTCGATGGCTAGTTGGAACTGCTCGTGCTCCCGCTGTAGCTGCTCTGCTTCAGACAAAGAGCTGGCATTGACCAGGCTGGCATTGAGCATTGACTCCCCATTGCGGATCCATCCCAGGACCTAGGGAGTTGGGACAACAGCACAGGTGAATGGCCTTCAGTCAGACAGCTCACTATCTCCTACCCACAATGAAGAGAAGATAGGAAGGATCTGGATGAGTAAAATCTTTCCAAATTTATCTGGAATAAGATATTTATCCCTGTGCCATAAGGTATTTATTGTTAAGTACCAATCTCATTCCAAGCTTCACATTTTCTTTCCTACCCTTATCACTCTTCAATCCCAGTCTCCTCAGCTACTTAAACATTACTTTATCTGATTGCACTGTAGGTATGTTTTTGAAGTTCCTTCTGGAACACAGTATGGTAAAAATAAATAAATTCCATATGTATGGAATATCAGTATGGTATCCTTTCCTTTTTTAAGGCCAACAACTGCTTGAAATCTTCTATATCTCACCATACCTATTAGAAACAATCTCTTCATCATCTAGTGAAACCAGACCATTCTACAGAACCCACGAAAGTCTGCCTTATTTGGTTACTTTGACCTATGTTTCATCTCCCCTCATTAGAATGTAAACTTCTGGAAGACTTGATTAACACATGAGTCATATTATAATCTCACTCAGTGCCTAGCATAGTGCTTTTCATATGACATGTATGCAGTAACATTTTTGAAAGAGTGAAAATATCCAAGTTACTGTGGAAAATATCCAAGTCACACCTGAAAAGTGGGTCCAGCCTCCTATGGTTTGCAAAACAGCCAAGAGTAGACAAGTTTTAGCTTTGATTGGTTAAACAACCCAAAGGGAGGAAAAAGAAAACAAGCAAAATAGTATGAATCACCCATACACTCGATCATCAGAAAATGGAAGAGTATGTTATAATTGATTAAAAGTATTTAGAGGTTATGGCTAGGCTGAGTAAGATTTCTAGGTGACTTTAATTTAGAACTGGGGGAAAGAAAATTCAGCTAGAGAATATTAGAATAGAAGAAGAAACAGCTGATACTGTCTAGACAGTCCTAGCTGAAATGGAAATGTGGCAATTACCCAGCTAATAGAGTCTGGTGGAAATAATCAAACTGGAAGTATTAGGCCTTGAAAGTCTACCTTGTGTCTGGTCATCAGAAAATTGCCAAATATTTGCTTTATTCAAGAGTCTGAGAGTTTGCTTGGAGAGGAAATAAAAGTTCTTCTGAAATTTCAAGATCAGTAAATACCATCCATCTGTTCCCTCAAGGCAAAGCAGAAGACATCACAATCTGTTTCAGAGTTTTTGAGATTTTTTTTTTCTTCTCTCAACTTCCTCATGTTAAACAATTAAAAAATACTAATCCTAGTCTCCTTTTCCATAACCCTCACTGGCATTTCTCAAATGTCCTCCTTGGGCAGAAAATGACTGATGCCATATTGTGCATGGATAACATTGGGACATAAATCCCACTGAGGCTGGGCTATTTGGACTGAGATGTTAATTTATGGGCAGTCTGGCAGATTGCAGATGAGATACCAATCTGTAAAGCAATTAGTTGCAGGAAATAACTGTTCAGAGTGTATGTGTGAAATCTCTGATGCCACTGGTGCACTGTAGTTGGCTGACTAGAGGCGCTTATGATTTCTAAAAGCTGGCTGTAAGTTTGGGTACATGCATACACAGATTGCATGACCAAATGCTTCACTCCTTTGGAAAATTGAGCTCATAATTTATATTTCTGAACTATGTAAGTCCTTCTGCCATGATTCATCACATCTTGCTTGGTTCAGGATTCATTTGAGGGTGTCAGATAAACATTTTCTCAATGTGCATCACAAATCAATGCTTGTGGGGGGGCAATCTGACTCCCTCTGGGCCTCTTGAGTCTTACTGGAATATTTTTCTCTCTATTTTCAGCCAACTGAAAACATTAGTTATAGCTATAGTTGTGGGATCTCCATCTACCAGATTCTCCATTTAGAAATATGATAGGTTTTAGTCTCTGCATCTTACATTAAATCATGCTGTATCCTTGATATCCTTGTTCATTTTTATTTCCCAAATGTTGTTTATAAAGGCATTCCAGGACTTTAAATAGGAAATTTGATTTTAGGAAGACAAAAATGCATGGCAGTTTAATCAATGGCTTGGTTCAGGGGTGGGACTGATGCCAGTGATTAAACTACAAGCATTTTTATCTTCCTAGAATCAAATCTCCCATGTTGAAGTCCTGGACTCAGTCCTAGAAGCAGAACTGAGACCATGTTTAAAGAACACAGAATCTTAAGTCAAAACACCTGGCTTTGTTTCTACCTGGTAAAGCCACTTAACTCCTCTGAGCCACAGCTTTTTCAACTGTAAAGGTAGGATATCTTTCCTTCCTGTATCAGGGTTGATGTAGCATACTGTAAAAGGCAAAGCCTGCTGATAGTGGTGATTTTTAGTTTTGAGACAAACCAAACTATGATTCTCCAATTATATCTTTCACAATGAGAAGAAAAAGAGTTTGGGAATACCAACTTATATTCTAGTATTTGCAGAGTTTATTTCTATATTCTGATGAGATACAGATAACTTAGCTGTTTTCTTATCATCAGTCTTTGGGCTCTGATCAATAATCTTGTTGGTATAATTTTCCATTACTGTTATATTTATCTTCCTGGTTCATAAAATTGGTTATTTATTCTCTGTGAGCATCCAAATGAGAGAAAGGTAGTAGAAGAAATTTTGTAACAAACATGAGAAATATTGGCCCCACTAATCTTGAGCTATTTGATTTTCAAAACATCATTTAATCTCCCCGAAGCTCAGTTTTCTTCTCTGTAAAATGGTAAATCACAAGGTATAGATGAAATAAAATAATTACTGTAAAAGTATTTTGTAAACCATAAGATGTAATCCTATAAATGCATGTTTTACATAGATCATTCATCTTGGACCATAGTTTACCAATAGGTTATATGGTATTTAAAGGTCACTTGGAGCCATAATATTCCATACTCCTTTCAAAATTCAGAGGCTGTCTCTATAACCACAGGATAACAGAGAAACATAGCCCTGCAGAAATGAGGGCTGGGAAGAGTATTGCTCCTTGGGGACTTGGGAGTTAGGTCACCAATTCAGCTCAGTCAGACTGAGGTGGGACTGAACATAGAGATCTACTGCTTCATTAGGCCAAGGAAGCTCAGATAACCCTGACTCAGGAGAAGGATGGATTTGGTTAACTGGATGTGAATGTCCAAAATGATGATGCCACCTAAGCTGGGCAAGCTGGACCCTGTGCCCACGTAGGTTGTGGAAGCTGCCTTGGCTATGACTGTGTTCTCTAGGTCACACTGACAGGAAACCTATTAGGCTCTTGCTACTGCAGATGATTTATCACAAGGCACAGTCACTTCTGAAACTCTAACCACAGGGAAACCGTCAGCCTCTCAGGTGGTTAACTGGGAGCCTGTTATATTTCTAGTATTTCTTAGTTAAAAAAATTTACAATTTATGAGATATGTGTTTATCTTTCATGATATTATAGACTCTGACGGTGTGTCTTCTTAATTATCTCCATTTTGAAACAAATGGATGATACTTGTCCCTATGGCTGTCTATCTTTCGGTACTACTCCCACTCCTTTGAATTTTTATGTACAATGAACAGAATTAAATGGTATTTTCTATAAGAATATGAGGAGAAGGTAATATTTTCTCCTTTGTTTTAAATTCCTATCTTGATCATGTCCAAATATTGGCCAGTATTTAGTCCACAGGGATAATTTAAGTCAATGTCTTTAGTAGACAAACAAGTACAATTTATTTTCCCATAGCTCAGAGCTCCAACATCCTACAAATCCATTTTGGCCTATTTTCTGCTAAATGCATGGCTCTGCAGGAATACATATGGGCATTCATTTAGTTTTATACCCACTAAATAGGTTTTTCAAATCTCCCTCAATTATCTAATAAATGTGAGGTCATCCTTACAAGAGTAGCAATTTTCCTGGAAAACAATCAGAGCATTTTGTGGGGTCTGGAGAATAATCTTAACAATTTTTCTAGAAGAAAGGGAGTATCTGGGTGGTCTAGGGCCCTGGACCATGGGAATCAGGGGAGTGGTTTCCCTTCAAGACTGGGGCCATTTATCTTAGATACAAAGTCCTAAGTAATCCCTCAGAAAGCAAATCAGTTGCATTAATCAGTTTCATTTGTTCTAAATACTTGAAAATTATTTTTAGTCAATGTCTGTGATATCATCGCTCCTCAGAGCCCCAGTTTAATACAACTGTGGTATAACTGCACATAGGTTATGAAGGCCAAATCTAAACCTTTAACCTCTGAGCTATAATGACAGAGACATAACACACTGTTGTCCTCTCCCTTTCTGTCTCTATTAATGGCACTTCAATTAAGGTGTCCTTTTTTTTTTTTTTTTTGAGAGTACATTCCAAAGAGAAACTCTCAAGCTGGTGTCTAAATTTAGCCCACATGATCAATACTGACATCTAAATTAACTCCCTCTTCCAAGTGTCAACAGTTTCCAAGTCAATATTTCCTGCTCCACCAACTTCCATCAAATCTTGAATGCCTTCTCTGAAGACTCCCTAAAGAAAGAGCCCACACTGACAAGAAGAACAAGTCTGTTTAATGAGGCATAAAGCCTTTTAACGGAACAGCAGTCCCCCAGCACCTGCAAGGGCTGATATCCTTTGCCAAGGCCTTGTGGTTTCCTAAAGGCTGATCTCAGCCATCCAGTACCATTTTGAACTACAATCCCCCATGTGTCATTCTTCCCATGGGGAAGAGAAGAAGAAGGAATTTTCTCATTCCAGAATTTTCTCTTCTGGAATTTCAAATTCCAGAAGAACTTTTTTTTGCTCTAAAATTCATGAAATACTGAATGGGAATGTATGCAATTAGTCAAACCTGGATGATCCATATATAGTTAACCTACTTCCCCACTTGACAAACTACCTATCATCCTTCAGCTCCCCATCCTGTACAGAATGTATACTTGGAAGGTTAAAAATTAATTTCATTTCCATTTTCATTGCAGTCAAAAAAAACCCCATAATTATAAAGTTGGCTCTACTATGAATTCTGTAACAAAAATAAATAAAAAACCAAAGAATGAAAGCAAAATTATATGATGTTGTTGTTGTTCTGTCACTAAGTCATGTCCACCTCTTTGTGACCCCATGTACTGCAGCACGCCAGGCTTCCCTGTCTTTCACTATCTCCCAGAGTTGGCTCAAATTCATGTTCATTGAGTTGGTGATTCTATCTAACCATCTTATTCTCTGCCACCCCCTTTTCCTCTTGCTCTCAATTTTTCCCGGCAACAAGCTCTTTTCCAATTAGTTGGCTCTTCAATTCAGGTGGCCAGAATATTGGAGCTTCAGCTTCAGCATCAGTCAGGGTTGATTTCCAATGAATATTCAGGGTTGATTTCTTTTAGGGTTGACTGGTTTGATCTCCATGAAGTCCAAGGGACTCTCTAGAGTCTATTCTAGCACCACAATTCTAAAGCATCAACTGTTCAACACTCAGCCTTCTTTATGGTCCAACTTTCACATCCACACACGACTACTGGAAAACCATAGCTTTGACTATATGGACCTTGGCTGGCAAAGTGATGTGTCTGCTTTTTAATATGCTGTCTAGGTTTGTCATAACTTTCTTTCCAAGGAGCAAGAGTCTTTTAATTTCATGGCCACAGTCACCATCCACAATGATTTTGGAGCCCAAGGAAAGAAAATCTGTCATCATTTCCACTTTTTTCCCTGCTATTTTCCATGAAGTGATGGGACCAGATGTCATGATCTTAGTTTTTTGAATGCTGAATTTTAAGCCAGCTTTTTCACCTTTCTCTTTCACCTTCATCAAGAGGCTCTTTAGTTCCTCTTCATTTCCTGCCATTAGAGTGGTATCATCTGCATATCTGAAGTTGTTGATATTTCTCTCAGCAATCTTGATTCTAGCTTGTGATTCATCCAGCCCAGCATTTCACATGATGTACTCTGCATATAAGTTAAATAAGCAAGGTGATGATATACGGCCTTGTACTCCTTTCCCAATTTTGAACCAGTCCATTGTTCCATGTCTGGTTCTAACTGTTGCTTCTTGACCTGCATGCAGGTTTTTCAGGAGACAGGTAAAGTGGTCTGGTACTTCCATCTCAAAAAGTCAATTAGGAATAATTTTCCTGTTATCCAGTTTATTGAGATGACCATGAACAAAGAGCAGAGGAGAACTCCCAGGTCTGGATTTCGGAGCCCTGGGCTCAAGTTTCACCTAAGCAGCCACGAGGCCCCGGGAACACTCATCTTATAGTACACCTCAGTTCCTCATTTGTAAAGTAAACGTACACCACGCTCTCTCATGGGCTTTTTCTCCTAAATTGAGATCACAAATGAGAAAGTACTTCTAATAAGAAAGAAATTATTATCATTGCTGTCAAGAGATTCAGAATTTGAAAACTCATCCCTACTCTGGGCCTGCTAGGATTTCCACCATGTCACCACGAGTAACATGTCTCCATGTCTCCAGACAATCAGGTGTGATCCCAGGATAATTAAATTGAAAAAAACTTGGATGGCAGTGCTGTGACCTGGCTTTGCTTAGGGCCCAGTGATGTCACCAGTGCTCAAGATGGATCTTTAGCACAGAATGTGAGGACTCAGCACTGATTGGAAAAGAAAGGGAGCAGAGAAGGCAATTTTGCACATATAATAAATAATATATAATAACTATAAAAGCATAGGCATTAACAAGGAATACCTTGAATAAAAGGGACAAAGAAATAATTATAAAACATATTTTTGTTCCCTGTGCTAAATTAATAGACTTAAATCTAAAAGTTCTAGCAGTTACTGAACATGATATTTTGGATGGGGCTCTGCCTAGAGGAAGCAGGGGAAACGGGTTGCTTGGGAGAGTCTGGAGCAGAAGAAGCAAACACTGAAATGCTATGGGATCTACCCTGCCAGGAAGTCCTCCTGGACATGTGGAAGGTGATGGTGAGTTCTTTCTTCAGTGTGACCTTTGTCTGGTGACCTTGCTAAGCTTCAGTGACTTCCTCTGAAGAGAGAGTAATATTTGCTTCAGAGAATGGTTGTGAGGATTGGTCAAGAGATAGGTATAAAAGGTCTATGACACTCAATAAATGGAACTATAATTATATTTGGATTTCTTCAATCCCACTTTGTCTAAATAGGAAGTTACCAATCATTATGCTGAAAATTCCCATTTAATCTGTTTATAATATAAATATGTAGTATTTTTAAAATGTATCATTGGTCATTGTGTGTATGTTCTTATAAATCCCTAGGAATGGTACAGGAATATCCTTTAGAAGAATAGATAGTATCATGTCTCATACAGGTAAGAACTCTTTAAAATTGGCTTTAATGTGGCAAGAACATTTTCTTAATAAGAACCACAAACACACTGAAAGGAATAATGGGAAGTGAATGATGGCTACCACTTATTATCAAGAATATGTCAGGTCCTTACTAGACACATAGGTGCCCCCAAATTAATCAGTCTGGCTCTAAAGCCTGAGTATATCTAATGATAAAGGCTTAGCCTTTCCCATGAACTCTATGCAGGATCGAGGACAGAAAGAAAGAGAATGGATTCAGTGACTGAGGATGAGGACAACTTGGAAAAGCCCTGAGAAGATGTTCTCCTTAGATTGTTGTATGCCGGAGAAATAATGCATTTGGATGTAAGTCTGAGCCACTGGACCATTAGATCTATTTGTTAGAGTCAATAGACAGCAGACTAGCTTTCAGAAGCTAATACAACCATTCCTTAACTTACCTATTCCTAAGTTCTGGTCACACCTGAGGCTCTGTAAGCCTTACCCCATACCAGGAGCAGGCCCAGACCAGACTCAGCAACTGGAAAGCCCAGGCTGAAGGTGGAGGGCCAGGCTCACCTGTTTGACCTCGGCCTGGAGGTGCCGCAGTTGGAGGCACTGCTCAAGTCGCTTGTGGGTCTGCTCTGCGTTGAGCTCCAACTCATGCTGTTTCTCATGGAGAAACTCTAATAGCTCTTGTACCTGGGCTGCCAGATCAATGTCTTTTTCACAGATTAACTCAATCCCTGATTAAAACAAAATGTAAACAATTAAAAACCAGGTAGTACCATAAAGACTACATTTCCTTCAACATGCATATGAAAGCTGGAATTTGGAAAGACATCACCAGTACCCTCCCAACCTCTGCATATCACTCTGTGAAAAGGGATAAATCACCATAATGGGCCTTTGTTTGAGATGCTCAAAGCATACCATCTCTATTGGATTAACTGATCCTTTGCCAGGGAACAACTCTTTAACAGATGATCAGCTCCTTATTAATTGGAGTCAAAGAGGTGGTTTACTGGAGTCCATCCCTAGACAAGACCGCATACAGCAGTCCTTACTGGGTGGCTTGCCAACACCCAGAATATTCACAACGAAGCCTTTGATTACATTGGGAAATACAAAACAGAGCCCCAAAGATGCTGTCTCAGTAACTTCTGCCAAAGGCACACTCTCTTTCAGCTGGTCAGATGCAATTCACGATTAGATGCTAAATGGATTCTGAAGAGAATAGTTGGCCAGTGGTAATTTTATTAGTCAACTACTCAGGTTCCCTAAAAAAGCACTCTTAGAAATACCCACTAACTCTATTGTTTATCAAATACAGGCAAACACTCCTGATAACCATACCCCAGCAATATCACAGGGGTACGTGGCCTTCCCAGGTGGCTTGGCAGTAAAGAATTCGCTTGCCAATACAAGAGACATGGGTTCAATCCCTGGGTGGGGAAGATCCCCTGGAGAAGGAAAAGGCAATCCAGTCCAGTATTCTTGCCTGGAGAATCCCATGGAAAGAGGAGCCTGGTGGGCTACAGTCCATGGGGTCATAAAGAGTTGGACACGACTGAAGTGACTTAGCACACATTGAGTACTTATCCATTTAGAAAAGTCACCACACTAAAATTGTGCCCACAGGACAGTTTGCTCATCCTTCTACTGATTCAAAGCATTAGTAAGCCCCACCAGTCACCAACAAGGGCTCCCAATGTTTATTAATAAACTGCCAACCACCTGACCTTTGATGGGAGACTAATCAACACCCACCAGGCAGAAGCTGTGGCTCCACTCCTTGTGTAAAACCCCCCACCTCCCTGCCTTATTTTTTTGGAGTACCTCTCCCAGCACACAGGCATGTGTGCACGTACATGCGTGCATGTACACATGCACACAGTTTCTCTCTTCTCCAAACCAGCGCTCCTATTTTCACATTATCACCAACAGGCCTAAAGCAGCCTTTCTCCAACAGATTTCTGCTTCAGCAAGCGTCATTAAGGAACTCTAAGATGGAGCAAAGGCACTGCCTAGTTATCAAGGTCCTTCTTTCCTCTAGTGACTTGACTGTGATTCCTTACTTGCTATGATAGAGTACAGGAATGTGTGAGACCTGTCCCAAGTCAGAATCCTGATCTTGGCAAGTTACCTAAACTTTCAGAAACTTCACTTTCCTTACATGTACAATGAGATTTTACATACCCACCTATCTCAGGAGCTGATTGGGAGGATTAAATGAGATAATATATATATATGTGTGTGTGTGTGTGTGTGTGTATATATATATATAAAAGTATCTAACATATGATGACAATGAACATGTTTTGCTCCTCAGTCCCATGGCTTTCCTGGTTCCTGACTCAAACTTTCAACTTTCTATCTTCTGACATTCATGTCTTCTTGGCTCCTATCTCCAACTTCATGCAAGTTGCATTATTTCTTGATTCTTACTGTCCAGCTATTTCTGATTCAGCCCTGCTCAGATCCTTGGCTTTTGGAAAATCCTAACTCTGGATTGCTTGCCTTCTTCTGATCCCTGACTCCACCTGGCTACTCAGATTCTTAATTTTGTCCAGATCCTCTCCCTGAGCCCATATGCTGGAATCTATGACCTGGTGCAGTTGTGGTCCTGATACTGACAAACAGAATCTCAACTAACCATGAGGTTCAGGGTGCCGAAGTGTAGTTACTTCCATGGAGATCACACTCAGAGGAGCCCAAAAATCTCAGTGTATGGCCACATAAAAAAAATTGCCCTTTTGAGACTCCCCTCTCACTCTGACTGACGCCATCAGAAATTCATCACTGCCACCACCAACACAGTGGTCTGATGCAGTGGGAGTGTATACGGAAAGTCTGTACATGTGAAGGGAAATTCATTTCTAGAGCCAAAAATAGTGTTTTATATAAGACAATATGGGAGAGTGGGAGATTTTTTCTAGTGTTACATGTAATAATTTCAGTATCTTTCCATGTTTATTTTTTCTGTTGGTTTCATAATTCTAAGTCCCAGGTCCTGAAAATCTGTATCTGTGGGAGACAGAGAAGGGAATGGCTTGTTCTTTTGGCAGTCAACTCCCTCCACTTACTATTTTCAATTACCAAGAGGATGTGGTAGAGCATCTCCTTGACTGAAATAAAAAAAGATAAAGAAAAATTTCTACCTTTGCAGTGCTAGGCATCATGGGATGACCCTTGACCTCCACATTTACTTCCTAAAAATGTAATTTAAGATCCACCTGCAGAAGTAGATCCTTGCTTCCAGCCACAATGCAGATTTTTTTCCATTTCGTTTTCATTCTGCATGTATCTCTGCTGTTTAGTATGCTGGGCTTGGGCTAAGTGTCTTTCTATGGGAAGCTCATGGCTCACACCTGTCACATCACATGCAAATGGGCTATCTAAGCCTGGTACCTCACCAAAGGGGCCAGCCACCTGCTTAGAACACCATCTAGAACAGGCTCCCTGCCTGCCCTGAGACTCCAGTTCTTCATTTTCATTTATTTCACTTGATATTTTTTTTTTGAGATGAACAGGAAATAAAATGGGTGAAGACAATGCCTACTGCACTTCTACACTCAACAACTCATCACATGAATGAAGTGAATGGGAGGAACATGCAGAGTTACTCCAGCAATACCTACAAGAACAGAAACTCATGCCTCTTTCCTGGTGCCCACAAACACATTGACATGTGTCCCAGCTAATACCCATCAACTGGTAAGCAGCATCAATCAATAGCAAATAGTATTTTTGTGTATTGACATTACTACTTTCAATCTAATCTGAGGCCTATCTTCCTTAGGGGCTCTCCAGAGATGCAATAAGATGTGTTTGTCTTTTCCATCAAGTAATGAAATATATTCATCCCAAAATAGTTTGTTCGCCTCTCTAGAGAAAGCTGTATTGAAATTTCTTCCTGATGTACCTCCACAATGTCCTGCAAATATCCTTGTCAGAACACTTCCATTGAGGTCAGTTCTTTACTAACTTGTCTGTGTTCTCATAGTAACGTAGGTTCCCTGGGGCCAGGGCCATTTCTATTTCATGTATCTCAGCTTCTTTAGGACCTAGCACAGTGCTTGACATATAATATTCCCAAAATACCTGTTTAGTGGACACAGGGGCCTCTTTAAGGAAGAACTCAGGTAACCTGAGAGTTCTGGGGACAGAGTTAGGTTGGAATGCAGGCTCTGCAACCTATTAACAGTGAGTCTCTGGGTTCCAAATACCCTCTGAGCCTGCCTAAGATGGGAATCTGAACACTGAGTCCTTGGGATTGTTAAGAGGACTGAGAAAGATAAGGGAGATACAGGGCCTGGCATTCAATAGGCTCAAAAACACCCATCTCCCCACTTTTTCCTTTCCCTTGGGGGAAATTATATTCTGTGTTGATTACTGATGGGACTATTGAATGACTTATATAAAATGTAAATAGAAAATTTTACCATCAGATGTTTATGAGCTTGTTCAAAGTATATCATTAGAAATGATGATTTGGATGCTACTAGACTAGTGCTCTCAACCTTGGCTCATATAAGGTTCATCTGGAGAACTTTAAAAGTCACCATGTCCTGGCCACAGCCCAGACCAATAACATCAAAATCTCTATGGGTAGGAACCAGGCATCAGATTTTCCCACCTTAAAGTTCTCAGGGTGATTCCAACATGCAACGAAGATTGGGATCCACTGGATAAAATGGAACAATGTCAGCGATCCAGGAACAGAGACATTCCTTAGGCTACACTCAGTTACCAGAACGTTCAGCATAGCAATTACTTAGGGCTCAAGGCCGCAGTTAATAATAAAATGTTATTTTGCTTTCCTTTGCTGCCAGATTGAGAGTATCACTTTAATTTCCTCATGGAGAGAGGTGGCTGTGGTCTAGGGTAGAGTTAGGTATTTCTGGCTATGCTGCCCATACTTTTAACATGTTTTTCAACTGTTTGTATGTTCTTTAAATATCTGTGTCTGCCTCAGATAGAGAACATCTTCTTTTCTCTTTTCTCCTCCCCCAACTCCTCTTTCTGTGTCACTACCTCAATTAACACCCAGTTCATAAATTACAAAGTCCTTTAATCAGGTTTTTAGATTAGTATTTTCAACCCTGGCTATATATTAGAATCACCTGGGAAGTTTAAAAAATCTGGACCCACTCCAGACCAATTAAATAAGAATCCCTGAGGAGTGGGACCCAGACATTGGTATTTTTAAGAAGCTCTCCAGGTGATTCCAAAATATGTAGTCAGGCTGAGAACCATTGCTTTATATCAGCTTCTTTTCGCTTCCTCTCAGAACCATATTCCTTCACCCCAGAGTAGCTTACATTTTGGAAGAACACAGGCCTTTTCTTTCCTTTTATAACATAAGTACAATTATTTGTGGTCCATTATTTTTATGTATATCGTTTTCTCCCAGACTGATGTTCACTTGATTAACTCAGCAAACGTCAATATAGAGAATTTACTATGAGCGAAACATAACCACTCTGCTGGATGCTGGAAATGTAAAGAGAAGGAAGGAAATGCCCCGCCCTCATGCTGCTGGAGAAGCTACAGGAACACAACCCCAAGAGAATTCAGTGTGAGCTAGAGTATCAGTACAATGTACAATAGTTATCAAGCTTTACTGAACTCATACCAGGCTCATTTTTAACCCCACTGCATGCTCACAGTGACTCCATATGGTTAGGACTCCTATAACTGCTGTTTTTTAGAGGAAGGTGAGGCTTGGAGAGATTGGATAACACGCTCAGGGAACCCATGCAGTGGGAGGTATGATGTAGATTCCAACCCAAAAGTCTCTCTCTGTCTCTCCTGGCTGTACCCTTAACCTCTATGTTCAAAGAGATGAGTGATCCTCACAACCTACTTTAAGAATTAATTTAAGTGCTGGGGCTGGGTTCTTCCCAAGCACAGTAAATTTTAAGCACCATTGCCACACACTCCAAAGAGTTTTCATTTAAAGACCATGCACAAAGAGAGAACATGATGCTTTGATTAAGCCACGAAAGGAACATATGCGCAAGATACACAGCTCCTGTCTTATTTCTAAGTTCACATGTAACAGTGGCATGGTCAGATAACATTAGGGAAAAGAGCTGGGGTATAACCAGTGGGGGCAGTGAAGCTAAATCATGGCAAGTGAGAACTGAAGGGAAGTTTAAGGATGAAGGCCCACCTTTCACACTAGACAGATGAAGAAACTAAGGTCTACAGAGAAAGAAGAGTGACTTCCAAAGTCAGACTGCTTGTTGGTGGTGCAGCTGGACCTTGAATTCCGCCAGCGTGTTTGCCCCAGCATGACTCTTTCCAGCAAAACCTGCTACTTCCTAAGTTGAGGCCCAATAGATAACCCTAAATGATGAGCAGGTAAAGAAAATGTTCCCATTTTTCCAACTACACTTAAGGCTGATGTTGATTTAAACAGAGGCTTTTGCTTTGGTTAGGGCTCTTAGCAAATCAGGTGGATTTAGTAGAACCTGGCTGAATGTTACAAAGTTCACACATAAAAGTAAGTGTAAAGAAATTCCATACTTCCATTTATTCCTATAAAAATCAAAGCATAAGCCCTTAATTAATTCAGCTTGGAAGGCTACATAGCAACCAAATTCTTCATTTTTCTAATTGTTCTTTTTCTGAGACAGTAGTTTTTTTTTTTACCTCTAGTTCAAACATAATTTATTAGACATACAAGGCAAATGTCCAGCCCATTTGTATCCTAAGTCCTGTGTCTCTGAAGTTCTGCATTCTTCAGCCACCCAGGTTCTTGGCAAGGCCGACTCTCAGTCCACCTTCAACTTCCACTCCCAGTCCCAGCTCTGGTGTGATGACGCCCTCCCTCCAAGCCAGAGATGAGACAGACACCTCCTCTGCAGGACAGGCACATGGCAGCACTCAGAGGAAGCTTCCCTGAGAGCCCTGGAACCACTCCCCTGGAGGTCTCGTGGGCTATGCCAGACTGAACAGCTAGCCGAGGAGAAGCAGGGAACAGCCGTCCCAGCAGAAAGGGCTGAAGAGGCCAATCAAGGTTCTTTTGACAAAGCTCATTTCTAGAACAGGATATGTGGAGGTTGGCAGCCCATCTGCCTGGGGTGTTTTCACCCACTCAGCCCTCATGGTTAAGGTGGCCGCCAAGCACAGCCGGTCTACAGGGACTGCTAGCTCCTGGCAGTCTTTCTGTTACCAAGGATATCTGGCTCTTGTACAGAGGTGTGCTTGCCCAGGATCATACCATCACCTTACTCCTAAGTGCCGCAAGTTTTCAGGCAGATGAGGCTCTCCACCTGTGAGACACATCAGTACTGAAGGATGAAGGGATAAGCATACCTGCAGAGTTTCTCTGCACAGCCTCCTTCCTAGGTACTGTGTCTGCATTCTCTCATGTTTCCCTATCTTAGTTGGATAGCCGGCTATCTCAAGGATCATGAGGACAAGTTATAGGGTGAAACCTTGAGTCCATACAAGGTTCTCCATCAGTTTTCCCCTTCCATAATAAGACTTTGAAAAGGTACAGCTGATAAAATGAGGTTCAGATTCCTAAATCTGGGATTCTGTCTTTCCAATCAGTTCTTGAGCGATGCTGGTGCTGCTGGCCCAGGGCCCACACTTAGAGCAGGTCCTAGATCAACGGTCCTAGATTAGTGCATCAGAATCACCTGGAGGGCTTACTGTTGGGCCTCATGTCGGAGAGATTATGACGTGGCAGGTTCTGGGGATGGGCACCTGAACTTGCATTTCTAACAAGTACTCAGATAATGCTGATGCTGCTGATCCGGGGACCACAAAAAATTGGAAGTTGCTGTCCTAAGGTACACCAGAGATATCGGCTGCTGTGATTTAACCTTCACGATAAAAAGCAATGATTCTCAGCCCTGGCCGCACGGTGGCATCAACTGAGAAGGTTTTGCCAAGTCCCAAGTCCCATTCAGAGATGCTAAATCAGAGTATCTGGGTATTGTCATTTTTAAAATAATCCCCAGAGAGACTACGAAGTAAATAAGGGCTCCTTCTGGAGCTGTGTGGAGCATGATCTGCACCCTGGAAACAGTGTCTCACAGACAGCTGCAGCCTGTTCACAACACAAATGAACATTCAAGGAAAGATAATGCTGATCAAAGTAAATAGAATTTACTAGATTGTCTCTCCTCCGGTTAGGAGTGAAGTTCCTTTGAATGCTGGTATGTCCTGTTTCAGGTCATTAAAAGAAGCACAGTACCCTAAAGTCAAGTTTGATTGCTAAGGTCTGCCTGACAATCTCATGATTCTAAATCAACAGAGACATGGACCAACCGTGTTTCAAAGAGTTGATGGCCTGAGCTCCTGCCTGCCTCTTCCTGGGGTGGTGGAGGACCTGGGATGGTGGGGGTGAGGAGACCTGGGTTCTGGCAGTCCACTAGTTTTAGGCCCAGACCAATAACTTCTTCCTTCTGGACTAGGGAACTACTATGTTTCTCTCCAGCTCTGAGTTCAAAGGCTGTTCTGGAAAGTGGTAGGTGAAACTTAAAGGTCCATGCATTTGTTGGATAAACAACGAATAAATTCTAAATAGGGAAAGAAGTCTAGTCTGAGTAACAGCCATGTGTTTTTTGAGAAGTTATAAAATTATATGACCTTGCCATAAATTTTGTCAGTACCTTACACTCACACACAGACCAGTGATAAGAAAAATAAGGACTCTGAGAGGGCTTCCCTGGTGGCTCAGTTGGTAAAGAATCTGCCTGCAATGCGGGAGACCCTGGTTCGATCCCTGGGTTTGGAAGTTCCCTGGAGAAGGGCACGACAACCCACTCCAGTATTCTTGCCTGGAGAACTCCATGGACAGAGGAGCCTGGTGGGCTACAGTTCATGGGATTGCAAAGAGTCAGACATGACTGGGTATCACTGAGAGGCATGGACTGGAGATGAGGAGTCAGCCCTGAGGGTGGAGGACAAGGCAAGAGAGTATGTGAACAGCAATAGCTACACATCTGAATACAAGTAACAAGGATGGCTGATGGCATTTGGAGCCCACCTGGTTTATTTCTCTAGACCACTATGTTTGTGAATCTGTGCTAATCTCCATCATTGGTTTTTCCCATTCTCCCCACAGCACCACGGAGAAGGCAATGGCAACCCACTCCAGTACTCTTGCCTGGAAAATCCCATGGACAGAGGAGCCTGGTAGGCTACAGTCCATGGGGTTGCTAAGAGTCAGACACGACTGAGCGACTTCACTTTCACTTTTCACTTTCATGCATTGGGGAAGGAAATGGCAACCCACTCCAGTGTTCTTGCCTGGAGAATCCCAGGGACAGCGGAGCCTGGTGGGCTGCTGTCTATGGGGTTGCACAGAGTCAGACACGACTGAAGCAACTTAGCAGCAGCAGCAGCCACGGCACCAGAAGAACCTGGTTCTGTTTCTGTCTTTGTGATAGCTAACTGGGCAACCTTAGACAAACAATTTCAGCTCTCATGCTTCAGTTTCTTTTTTTTTAAATGGCACAAAACTCTCTGTTTCTTGTACCTGTGGGAAGAGAATGAATTAGTGGAGTGGAAATCCCCCTTGGAGTTAGGATGATTAATGTTCTTGTTTTCATCATCTCCCTGCTGGACGCATAAGAACAGGACAGGTCTCCTACCTGAGGCCTGGACCTCCATGATATACTGGTGCAGATCCTGGCCCTGCTGGATGACCTCAAAGGTCATGTTATTCATGGCTAGCTTCCGCTCTGTGTGGCGCTGCAGCCGCTGTTCCGCCAGAGTTAGATCCTCCGTGTTGAAGTCATTCATCTGCCGAAGCAAATCCTCATTCCAAGCGTCGAGCTCTGCTGTCACCTGTAAGGGAACCACCATCAGCGCAGGTTCACTGGTCCACAAGAGACAGCTATAGAGAAGCTCACTGATTCTGAGCATTATTAACTAATCTAAGTCAGATCTGACTCTGCTTTGCATCTCTTTCCTGACCCCTAGACTATGTTTAAGCAATGATGCCAGGCACCCATGTATGCATGCCTTTAACAGGGTTCTCCCTGTGTTTCAATGTCTACAACAGCTACTTTGCTGTACACCTGGAACCAACTATGCTCCAATATAAAATAAAAATGCTAAAAAAATTGTTCTCCCTGTTTTTTAGTGTCTATAGCAGCAGCAAATACTTAAATGATGAATTAAGGTTTAGAAAGGCTTTGCATACTCCACCTCATTCAACCCCCAATAACCTGAGACACAGGCACGGTGGAGATATCTAGGTCTATCTTACAGAGAAAGAAGCTGATACTCACTCACACAGATGGAATGGTTTGCCCAGAGTTTACCCTGCTCATGAGGGACACAACCTGAGGACATAACTCAGTTTCCCTCCTACTGCAAAGACTTAGTCCACCATACCGTAACTGTTGTTCTAAAGATTTCATCATTGGAGAAGACCTCAGAATTTAAGTACTGAGTCTAGCTTCAAGAAACAAGCAGAAGGCTGGAGAAGTCCAGGGGATGCCCAAAGGTCACATAATTGTTTAGAGCTGGTGTACACCAAACCCAGGGATCCTGATCTGTTTCCTGTGTTCTGGGTACAGGATTCTATTACTCACAAAGGGTGATGCCTGGTAATAGTGACTAAACAAGGTGTAAATGTATAGCTTACCACTAGAAATCCAAGAAGATTACACTCTATTGAAAGGCACACACGATTCTAATAAAGACTGAAGCATGGGATGAAGGGAAACTTTGCCCTGATATGGATTTGCTACTTGGTTATAGCTCTACAGTTTCAGTCACATGATGTGCCCTCATTTACTCTCAAATAAGCACCTGTACACAGAGACGGAATCCAACACTTCGTTATGATCACTGCAATCAAACACACAGGCACAACTCAGAAGTACTTAACTGGATAATAATTCCACATGATATACAAATCAAACAAAACCTTTTCCAAAATGGGTTTGAGGTGTGTTATCTCATGAAGTACCTGTGAAGGCAAAGGCACAGGTAGTGTCACTCTCGTTTCTGGGAAGAGGCGATGGAAGCCTCACCCCAGATCACAAGGTGCAGTTTGGTCCAGGCACCCTAAGCACACAGCCCAGAGACCAGCTTAGTGATTTTCATCATGCTGGGAGTCATCCCAGCTGACATGTGGCAAAACCTTCCCAGTTACCAAACACTGCTATCCAGGAACATCAGGAGACAAAGAGAAGGAAAGACCAGTCTGATGCAGCCTGTTCACAATAGGAGATGGTGCTGTTCCATGCTGTGCCAGGGCCACACAGACCCAGATGGGAAAGGCAAGCAGTCCCTCATGAGAGGCACAGGATTCCTATTCTTTGTCTGACAGTAAGACTTTCCTCCATTGAAAGTGCAGTTACTCTCTTTGAAGCAGAAATAGGAAAACTAAAAATATTACCTTCACAAGTCAAACAGAGGAAGACAAATATCATATGATATTACTTATATGTGGAATCTTAAAAAAAAAAAGGGTACAAATGAACTTATCTACAAAACAGAACTAGAGCTACAGATGTAGAAAACAACGTGACAGTTACAAGGGGCTGAGAGGGGCAGAGTACACTGGAAGACGGAAGCCGACACATACACAGCACTATGTATGAAACAGACAGCCAGTAAGAGCCTGCTGGGCAGCACAGGGAGCTCCACCCAACACTCCGCAGTGGCCTACATGGGAAACACATCTAAACAAGAGTGGATACTTGTATAGCTGATTCACTTTGCTGTACATCTGAAGCTAACACAACACTGTAAATCAACTATAGTACAATAAAATTTTTAAAAAAAACCCTTCACTGTCATGGGTTCTCACCTTATGTCCCTACCTCTTTGCAGGTCAACTAAGGGATCCACTGAGTTCAGCCCAAACCCTGTTATCGATTTGTGGGGAGCTCTTAGTGATTTGAGAATCAGCAGGTTGCAGGCAAACAGGTTTTTGTTATATCCTATTTTTGAAAAGCACTTCATTCTCTAACTAGAGAAGGGAGTTAAAATGAGAAAAATAAGAGTGAGAACTTATAATTGTGGGCTTCCTTGATGGATCAGTTGGTAAAGAATCCTGCCTGCAATGCAGGAGACCCAGGTTCAATCCCTGGGTGGGGAAGATCCCCTGGAGAAGGAAATGGCAACCCATTCCAGTATTCTTGCATGGAGAATCCCAGGGACAGAGGAGCCTGGTGGGCTACAGTCCATGGGGTTGCAAAGAGTCAGACATGACTTAGCAACTAAACCACCACCAACTTATAAGAGATAATTTATAGAATGAATAGGACTGTGTAGGCTAGGCCTATAAATGTTTTTCCTTCTCATATTTAAAAAAATTTAAGTAAAATTTGCATACAATAAAATACACAAATATTCAGTTCTATGAGTTTTGACAATTTTAGATATCAGTGTAACCATCACCAAAAACAAAATATAGGACCTTTCTATTAACCTAGGGACTCACCACTTCCAGTCAGTTCCTGCCCACTGCCTTCAGGTACTACTTTCTGATTTCTATCATCACAGATTCTTAGATTCCGTATAAATGAAATCATACAATATGGACTCCCATGTCTGGCTTCTTGTGTTCAACACACTGTATCTGAGATTCAACTGTGTTGTATCTGTTCATTCCTTGCTACTGCTGAGTACCATTCTATGGTGTAGAGATACTGTGATTTGCTTACCAATCCTCAAGTTGATGAACTCCTAGGTTGTTTTTAGTATTTCGCTATTATGAATAAGGCTGATGTGAAAGACTTGCACTAGTCTTCTGTGGACACAGGTTTTCATTTCTCTTGAGAGTCACTTAGGAGTGTGATTGTAGGGTCATAGGATAAGTGTATACTTAACATTCCCAAGAGGAATTTCACATTCCCTGTGAAAGTTCTAGTTGCTCACCATCATTTGGTATTATCAGTCTATTTAATTTTAGCCATGCTAGTGGGTGTGAAGTGATATTTTATGATTTTAGGTTGTATTTTCCTGAAAACTCATCATGGTGAGCACATTTTCATGTGCTTATTGACTGCTGGTATCTACTTTTAGAAAGTGTCAAGTTTTTTTTTTCTCATTTTTCAGAACCTAGGTTATCTTTTGATTATAGATTTGTTAGCGTTTTAAATACATGCTGGATATAAGTCATTTAAGAGATAATATAAGGGAAAGAGCCCAAACAAAATTTTTAGTCCATTTCCTTGCTTACAAATTTAAGGGAAGTAAGAATAAGACAAGCATGAAATAAACAGTCTGCTTTTTCTTTACATTTTAGCTTTGGCTTTGTTTTCATGAAACTGAGTCAATGAAGAAACTGTTTGCTGCAGGAAGACCCTAGAGAGGTCCCAAGACATAAGTCTGTGGAGTGGAAAGGCAAGGTGCCAAGAGTCCTCATCAGAGCAGAGCAATGATGAGGTGCTTTAGCTGCGAGAATAAGGCTCAGAGGTCTGGTATCTTGAGAATCTGAATCCAAACCAAATGTGAAATATGCCAAGGATTCTATATTTGGTGTTTCTATATTCCTTCCTTCTCCTTCTCTACCTACACTACCCAACACCATTAAGCTGAGGGGTCCAAGTCTGAAATGAAGCCTGAAGAATGAGAATTTCAAGAAGCTACTCAACGCAACAGCCTGACTTCCAAGCTTTGCTCCTTGGGTCTATACACTCTTTACTATCTCTGTGTCTAACTCTCCCCAACCCCCAAGAACTGAAGCCCAGAGCCGTGAAATAGTCTGATTTATGTATTTCAAATGATGGCTGGAGTTTAAATTATTTTCTTTCCTGAGTATTTTCTGTTTCCTCAAGGAATATTCTATTATTGGCTTCCCCCTCTCTACCTTTCTAGGGCACAAGGCTGGCACAGAGCAGGGGTTCATTTTTTAAGAGAAAAAAAATTTGTTTTCAAACCTGAAGTTCACCTTACTGCTAATGAACAAACCTAGCTTTCTAGCCCCATCTCACGCTCTCCTGTTATGTGAACGAGGCACGTGGCTTACTCTCTGTTGTGAGAAGTTGTTCTGCCCTCTCCAGCCACCTTCTCTGGTCCAGCAGCCCTGAGACATCCTGTTCCTCCTCCCAGTCTACTCAAGTCCTCTCCACTCTCCAAAGTCAACTCTGGCATGGAGTTTCATGACAACCCCCAGAACCTGATGTTTTTCACTGGCTTATCTCATTACACTGGACAAGGGTTAATTTGCTAGTACAGAAACAAAACCATGAAAAGAAAAACCTGTCTAGTGGATTAATCTGGTGATCTAACTCCATTTGGAGAGGAAACCTGGAAGAATTTGTTCTGGGCAGAAACTAGGGCTGAACCAAATGAGTGAAAGATGGAACATAAGGTACCCACAGGACATTCAGCTTTCAATCAACCTATTTTTTTTTCTTCCACTCAATTAACTCCATCTCAGCTCCTGGCTCACTCAGTTCCTCTCTTGGCTCTGATGGCCACTCTCTGCCTCGCTCTTCTGAATTAATTGAAGTGTTAGGATATGATGACCTCTTTGAGAGATACATTGGCAGTGTTTTCTATCCTAACAATTATCTACTCCAGAGTCACAGCCATAAGGGAAATCAGAGAAAAGAGCTAAACAGGAATTTAGATAGGATAAGAGGCAATGGGAAGTGGGAAGGCACTTCAAAAAGAAGCCCAAAGTTCTCCTGCCAGATGAGATTCACTGAATCCAGTATTCTGCAGCCCAAAACTGACTCCAGGGACTTGGTTTAGCAGTGGCCTTGGGCACTGTTCTCAGAAAGCCCTCTTCTTTGGCTCCTCCCATTTTTGGGGTCCTTTCCAATAGTTATGTGTAGAGGATACTTTCTCACCCCCAGGTTTCTTAAAGAAGATATTTA